AGAGGTAAAATATTGGGGTTTTTTACAACACATATAATAAGCAAGAACTAATCAAAAATTTTTAGCTAGTATAAATAATGAAAAATGTTAAACCTGTTGGAAAATAATCTAAAAGCCATGACCATTTAATACAGAAAAACTCAAGATGTATAAAATGCCAATAAGTATTTGAAAAAGAAACCCTAATATTTGCTCATAAACTTTACAAAAAAAAGAGCACAATGGTGGTTGCCAAGGACAAGCGAAGCAAGAACTTTATAGACTTCTGAGGCAAGCCAGTCAGTACAATACTTTTGCACTGAAATATTTATGAAAAGTCTCTTTAAAACTACATCCCTATTGATCCAATAACATTACATCCAGAAATTAATATAATGTCTTAAAGATATATGTGTGTGTCCATGTGTGTGTCCATGTATGTGTGTAATTCATGGCTAATAAAAGTAAAAATTCAATACAATATCTTTTCTAATCAATAGTGAACAAGTAACTGAATCACAGCAATCTATACCATAAAATACTATGTAATTTTGAAAAATCACATCTGTGTTATACCCATATAGAATGTTCTCTAAGAGATGTTGTTTATGGAAAAACAATTGCAGAAAAACAGATTTTATGTGATACCATTTATGTACAGCCAAAAAAAAACCACACTGTATTTGTATTCGTACACAAGATAATGTGTAAAACATATTATAGCCAGGTGTGATGGCGCAAGCCTATAATCCCAGCAGTCTTGGAAGCTGAGGCAGGAGAATTGCAAGTGCAAGCCCAGCCTGAGCAATTTAGGGATTGAGCAAGTTCTTGTCTCAAAGTAAAAGGGAAAAAAGAAAAGGGCTGGGCATGTAGCTCAGTGTGCAGGCTTTGGGCTCAATCCCTATGCTAGTACCACACACACACACACACACACACACACGGATGTGTGTGCAAAACCACAATAATGTATGAAGTATAAGACAGCACAGTATGAAAGGATACAAAACAAGTGTTAATAATGGTTATTTCTTGGGAAAGAAATTGACTTGCAGGGAAATAAGAAAGAGGAATATTTACTTTGTACATTACATACCTTTCTATTATTCTTATTCCTTAAGGAAAGGGGTTAATACATTTACTTATGCACTTCCCACAAAATGAAAACACTTAGCTCCTGGATTTGTATATGGAAGGTGAAGCGAGGGGCAGTATGTAGGAGAAATTTAAAAAGGCGAGTGGATAAGGTACAATCAGAATGAAAGTCTGTATTTTCCTTGCCAACCATAGTTCTGCAGTAGATCTTCCAGGCTCTGGAAAAGACGAAACCTCCAACAAAGGATTAAGGTAGAAACTGAACTGATTCTGGTGGCAGATGAGGGTGAGCAGCCCTGGAGAGAACAGTCCAGGGCAATAGAAAAGCCTAATTCCTCTTGCTGGCTGGAATGTGAGCCTCCAGCGCAGAGATTCTCCTAGGCCTTTCACTCCCCTGGCGGTTCTTCCTCCACATGACAAAATTAGTGGCTCCCAGCAGGTCTGACCGCGCCTGACTGCCACGTGAAGAGAAACAATTTAGGAGCCCTAAGCAAAGTGAACTGGACTATCATTTAGTATTAATAATTATGAGACCAAACTGTGTAGAAATAATTCATTGTTTAATCATCACTGAGGAGCGGCAATAGAACAATCTTCCGAGCAGAGCTGAAGCAGCAGATCACTTTTGAAAGAAATTATTTAGATTTGAATCTTCTAATTTAGCAAGTCAATGACCAAAGCACAATTCGACTAGAACTCCTTTGAAAAGTGAATGCTCTTTTGTTTTATTTTCCCTGTCCCTAACTTAGCTCCAGGTCTATAAAATATCTTAAAGAACTGTACTGCAATAAAGCAGAAGTTTAGTCTGGTACAGAAAGCTCTGTTGTTTGTTTTAAAGACATAAGGACTGGGATTATTGTGCGTTTATCTGAGAGAAATGGGTTCAGACTAATGCCAGTGACAGCGCGTCAGGCTTTATTACGATGTAATGGTTGAGAAGTCAAAGCAAACGTCTAAGGGCAGAACTGCTTTTGAAAGAGGCCAGGTAGTGTCAACACTGAAGACAGCTGCACATGATCATTCTGAATGTAAGGACAATTTATCACTTGCTTTAGAAGTTACAACATATTTCAGAGAATTCTATAACAAAATATACCCTATTTGTCTCATTTATGTTTGATAAAACTTCATTCATTTAACTATTTATTGAGGACCTCACATGTATGTGGCACAATCCATGGAGGATATAGTCCCTAGCTTCCTGAAGCCTATCATTTCATCAGCAGTTATGTCATTTTAGCCGACATATTCAGCATGAGTTTAATATATTGACATTTGCTAGATACTGGGAAATACAAAAGTGACTTTAGCATATGATTTTTCCCTTCAATCGATTAAAATATATGAAAGGTGCTCTGTCCATCCACAGTACTCCAGTGCAGAGATTCCCAGCTCTCTTGGCAGGTGCGGCCAGTTTCAAGGAAGACAGCTTCTTAGGGGAGAAGGGTAGAGTGGGTCTGGAGGGGGTTCAGGGTCAGAATCGCATTCGGGCTCAGCAGTCTGGATGCCTGCCCTGCACAGTTCACGCAGGAGTTCCACAGCTCCCCTGTGAAGCTCTGAGGACAGTGGTGCCCTGGCTGGAGGCCTGGCGCAGGTGGTAAAGCACCGATGGGGAGTGGCTATACATGCAGTCGAAACGGCCCAGCGAAAACTGCTCACTTCGTGTTGTGTGGCCAGGTTCCTAACAGGCCGCAGAAGGACACAGTTCCTTCTCTAGTAAACAAGTCAGGTTGTGCTACAGTCAGTTATGGAAGTTCTCATTGCTGAGCGATGTCCGAAAGTAAAGGAGCTAAATCTAACGTCCTAGAGGGACATTATAAATGGTTTCATGGGTGAGATTCTTTCCTACTTTAGGTTCATGACAATGTGCCTTCACTTCAAGCTGTGACAAATAATCATCAAATAAAATTATAGGTACCAAGTACTGAGATAGGCACCAAGAACATAAGCTTAAGGAGAAACTGCGCCTTCTTAAAGAAGCAAACTAATAACTTCAGCACAGCATGGCACATACTTTAACCCAGGACACGCAAGATCAGTGCAGAGCACACTGAGAAGCATCCAGGCCTGCAGGAGAGACTCCGGCATCTAGGGGCTGGACACCGGCTCTAGTTAGCGGAGGAGAGGGACCTGAAGAGCAGGAAGAGGCGCATACTGCTGGGCAATAAACGCATGCTGAGAACAGCCGATGGATTCATACAGATCTAGGGTCTTAGGTGACAAGCAGGGAAAGTAAGAAGGGAAATAGGCTGCAAACAAGAGGAGGACCTGGGTTAAATTTTAACTATGTTAAAGGGCAGAGACAGGGACTGGAGAATCTTCCAACTATCTAGCTAGTAGAACGCAAAGTGGATTAGAACCAAGTCAGCCTGAAGGCAAGGGGATGGCTATGGAAGCTTTGTGATGTTGTCGGGAAAGGTAAGATTTTTATTAGAGCAGCAGCATCTAAGATGAAGAAGGGAGACCGATAAGCACGTTTGATGGTAGGATCTATAGGAATTGATGTGTTAACTGGAGAAATCTAAGGGAAACAAGGTTTATATGATAGGTAACATAAAATAAGTAATTTGAGTAAGGTTTAGAGTTGGGATATGGCTAAGGAGTTGAAGATGTATTTCTACGTAGTTTTAACATATATCTATATATACTATATGATATATATGGCATTTTAGCAAAAAATTCAAATTCACTGAGTGTCTCAGTTACTTTTCTTTCATTGCTGAGACAAAATACCAAATACTCCAAATTAAGGGAGGAAAAGTTTATTTAGTTTACAATTTGTGGAGGTTTCAGTCCATACTCCGCTGGCTCCAAGGCAGAGTGGCACATGGCAGAGGGCAACAGTTCATGGGAAAACAGCAAAAACAACAAAAGCAAAAAGGGAGGAGCAGCAAGAGCAAGCCTCTTTCCCTCCCTTATATTATATGCAGGCTACCCGTCCCAGGGCGAGTGTAGCACCCACACCCATAATCCCAGCATCGGACCATGGATCAATCATAAACTCTAGAAGTGTGCTCCATGACTTCATGAGGCTTTGGGGGGACATCCAGACACAAATCATGACACTGAGAAAGTCTGGAGATTTTTTTGTACTAAGCTTATTATTAACTTTCTCTTTATAACCAAATATCTTCAAATCTAGCATATTTTAAATGGGGCTCTAAGTTAGACATTGTGTAAAATGGAAGTTTCACAAAGGCACAAAAGATAAGATTTGTAAAGATTAAGGATTTGCCTAACTGAATATACGTAGTAAATAGTGTTCAATATTCAACTTTGATTACCACACTTGAGTGTCATATATTTTTCCACCGTATTTAAAATATTACATCAAGGATTTTGAGTACAACTCAGTGGTAGACCATTGTGCTTAATGTGTACAAGGCCCTTTGTTTTGTCCCCAGCACCCAAAAATATAAACAAAAGTATCATCAAATATTAATATCAAATAAAAATGGATTGGTATACTTAATTGAAATGTTCTTAATGTACTTACTACTCTTCATATTAATTTAAATCTCTTACTTTATCGAGTCTCTTTAATATCAAACCAACAATAGGTAATTGGATATTCCTATTCACTGTCTTAGCAAAACAACACTACTTCATTCCCACTGCCATTTTCTTTCTACTAAATTAGTGAGAACTTTGGAAACTCTTTAGAGATTACATTTTCAAAGCCCAGTAGAAAGGATTAAATTCATGAGTATTTGTTTTAAATGAGACTTGAATAAATTAATTTGTCTAGCTGGCCAGAAATGTTGTTAATAACCATCAAACTTTTTTTCTAAATATAGATTTTTAAAGACATAATAAGCAATATATGTTAAAATTTTAAGTCCTTGCCAAGAGAAAATCAGCATCACGGTAGATTTCAGTAGGAACTGGTGAGGCAGATCTGAATAAATTAAATGCACAATATTACTTACTTTATCCGCAGAGAAGCTGAAAAGTTGCTTTCTTTCAGCAAAGAACTGGACAGCGATTACACTCGCTGAGTGACCCCGAAGGACACCGACTGGTTTAGAAACAACGTAAGGATTCCAAAGGCAAACTTTACTGTTAATGCCAGCAGTTGCTAATCAGATTTAGAAAAGAAAAAAATATATTTTTAATGGAGCAAATGACCCACAGAAGTTTCTTTTTGCAATGAATTCATCACATTGCATAGGTGGATAAATGCATCCTGATGAATGCTATCACACCCTGTCTTGAAGAAAAAAAAAAAAAAAAAAAAAAAATCTTGCTTTTGCCCAACTGGTCTACCCCAGTACAGCACAAGTTCTGTCAACAGGAACTGTTATAATGGAGGGAGGCGTGGGAAAGGGATTTGCCTAGAGGGTGCAGGGCATGCATGATCTGGAAGAAAAAATATAACTGAAAAGTCAGTGAATTAAGTGGCTGATAATTAAATCTTTTTCAAATTGATTCATCAACCCCTCTAGCCTTCCTAGTAAATCTGTAGTACTCCTTGAAAGTTTATGTTGGCATGTTCCTGAATCTGTACTGCAGGTATGTTTTTAATTATGACTATCTGGTATTACTTTAGGGAAGTTTAGGGATTTAGCCCCTTAGCTAATATCAGCACTCTTAACATGAATACTAACAATTGAAAGAAGATTAATACAACCTATTCCGTAAGCCAAGTATATGCTCTGTAACTGCACTATGAATCTTCAATAATACATCCACACCTCACTTTTTAAAAAGGATACATACATTTATTTCTTTAAAATTCTGGCAATTTCCTCATGCCAGCAGAGTTCTATTTCTTGTATGTATCTTCTATGGCTACATTCAGTTCCAATTGTTCAGTGAACACAGAAGGAATGTGAAACGTCTCAGACCTAAGGTGAACCCCACTAACTAATCTCTAGCATACTGTACTTTTAAAAGCAGAAATACTTTCTGTAATGGTTACTACTGAGTGTTTATGAGTTAATCTTTTGTTAACTAGAACTACACATTCTATAGGTATTCCAGTAAACTGAGGTTTATATCCATAATGACCTGGTACCAAGACAAAAAATTTCCCTTTTCTTCAATTTCAGGAGACCTCAGCTATAAACACATTTTATCACCTTGAAAATGTAAAATGAGCTAATACTTTTGATGAAAAAAATTTGTTTTCTAATTACTTAGAAAAAATCTCTTTGATACTTGATTTGTTTAGCCATCTTCCACAAATATTTGATATACTTTAAGCTTAATTATGCATTTTTAAAATAAGAAAGGTACTCTTAGAAGAAGAGTTATTTCATTTATATTTTTTAAATCCACTTTACATAAAAGTGGATACATGTCACTCTACCATATATACTTCCAATCTGCTCCTAACATAGATGTGCTGGTGACATTAGTGAAGTCACAAGTATTAAATATATCAGAACTGTACCTCATTTTATAATGCTTGAACACATATATATGTGTATCAATTCATAACTTAGAGATTGTCTAGATATTTCAGTTAAATAGTTATGCCTCAAATCCTTTATATTTCCTCAACTTTAATATGCCTTTTCCTCAAAAGAATTCTAATAAACTAAAGCTAGGATGACCTGCAAATGTTAAAAAATAATCATTACAGATTCTATTCTGAAAAGTAATTGGACAACATCCTACATTTTTTTCAGTTTTCTAGTGGACTCGTGTGTGTGTGTGTGTGTGTGTGTGTGTGTGTGTGTGTGTGTCTAGCTGCAGTGAAAATGCTCTTTGTTTGTGTGCAGCGTTTGGTGGTTGGGGAAGACGGCCAGTGCAGATGCGGTACAAACTGCCCTCTTCCTCCACATTGTTAGGCATCCCCCACCACTTCTAGTAAAAAGACTCACTAAGGCACGGGGTGCTTTCTTATATTTTCACCCCAATGCTGTTCATATATACTACGCATCATAGTGCATCATTATCAGACATTCTCAGGCAATAAAGTGTGAGCTGCTCAAGTTGGTCTCTCTGGCAGTAAAGCACCAAGGTGAAGCTCCATGCGTACAAATGTGCATCTCAGACCATTGAAGAGGCCCTCGCAGTCACCATGATTTATTTACTTACCAATTAGATTGAGCAGAGAGTGGTAATCAAAAGCATGAATGCCCTGGGCAATGCTGAAGGATGTCACTTCCAGATGATGTTTTGACTTCTCTCTCCAAGCCAGCACCACGGTGTTCGTACTGTTGGTTGTACTGGAAATGACGGCACCCAAAGACGCACTGTAAGTAACTGAAAAAAAGTTAAGCAGAGGGAAGCAACTTTTTTCACAAGATATTATCAAAATAGAGCTGCTTAAGTATACAGTGTTAAAATTAAACTCAGAAACACCCGGCTCACCCTTTTTGCACCTCCCACCAAAGAATCCACAGTGCGAAGTCAGGGCAAATTCTGCTCTCAGCCTTTCCTCCCATTCTAGCGGTACCTGCATTTTCTACGGGAGCACGTGGCTGGAAACAGTGTTAAACTAACCACAACAATCATGCAGGAGCCTGCGAATGTGAAATGAATAGTGGGCCAAGATGCCATGCTCTCTCTCCTGGACTTGGAACAGGCCAGCAAAACCTTACCGACCATCTGCTGCTCCCCAAAGGCCCAGCTCAGAGGAGGGCTTATTCGAATTTTGCTGCTCTAGCGTGTTTGACCGTAGAATGGACTCCCTGCCTGCCACGTGTCACAAAGACAGCCAGGGCTCAAGTCGAGATGGCTGCCCGTGTGCTCCCTGTGACCCAGCGCCAGGTGCTATGGAGCAAAACCTCACCCACCAAGCGAGAACGGCCTGTTCCCTGCGATCCCGAGGCCCTGTCCTTTCCGCCCAGACTCGCAACCTCCAAAAGGATGCAGCAGTCGGAGCTGCTCTTTGACCGACATCAAAGCAGCATGCACTCCACAGTGAGGTGGGAGTTCTCTCCTGCACTTTAGAATGATTTGTGCCCGGCACAGAAAGAGTTCTGATTTGACCTAAAGATCAATACTCCTGCCTCACACGAGGGAAACTTCTTCTCTTTTACAGCTTAAAGACAGCTGCTTAGAGAGAATGGCTCTTAGGAAACTTCGGATTTGCGTCTTACGTAGAATGAAGGGCGATAGTCCAGGAAGAAACTTCCCAGTGGTACGCTGCCTTTTCTGTGCAACCCCAATGAAAATATTCGCGAAAGCATTAGACTGCTTTCTCATATTTTCCCCGTGTGGGTCATACACAAGATACACCATCGTGCATCATTATCAGACTCTCTCAGGCAATGAAATATGGGCTTTTACTTTTAAAACTCACGAAACTAAAGACTGCCCCTTGTTCTAGATTAAAAGATGCTTGTTTAGAAAACAGCTTTGGAGTGTAGAGAGAGTTTCCAGAATAAGGAAGACAGTGCCATCCTCTAAAATAGAAGGAGGGGTGCATTCGTCAGGCATCTCCAACCTATTGGCCTCCCTGGAATTGTCTTGAGCTACATATAAAACACACAGCATAGTTCATGTACATAAGTAACAAAATTTCCTTTTTAAATATTTTTGTTACAGGATTTTTAGTAAGAGGGCGAGCACCCTGCAGGCCACGGGGTGGACAGAGGGCAAGATTCAAGTTCCTGGAGTTTGGGCTCGGCTCGTGTACTGTGATACATCACGTGCTCCAGGATTCATCCAGCTCCACCTTTGCTGCCTTTTGCAGTCGTGGCGAGGGGGACTGAGACAAACACTGGACTTAGGTTACTTGTCTCCTGGGAGTAGCAAGATTATCCTCTGGCATATCCGTGAGATGTCTTATTCCAAGTGAGCCCCACCATATTTTTATTACTGGCTGTACTAGAAATGATAAGCTGAGCTTTTGAGAGTTAATGAGAAAAAAGCACAAAAGTTAAGACCTTTCACAGTTCCAGACTGGCGCTGTTATGCCAGATATTCTATTCTTCCCAATTCATATGCAGAAGCGCTACCTCTTCAAGGAGATGCTGTTAAGAAGTAGTTCCTTTGAAAGAGGCATTTAGGTCGTCAGGGAAAAGTCCTCATAAACGGGATGAGCGTCCTCATAATAGGGGCCTCAGGGACACTGTTTGGCCTTCCACTATGTGAGGACAAAAGCTGTGTAAATCAGGAAGAAGCCCTCGGTAGATGCTACACTGTTCAGTACCTTTCCTGGACTTTTCAGCCCCCAGGACCGAACAAATAAGATTCCGTTGTTTATGGGCCACCCAAACCATAATACAGTATTATTACAGTAGCTTGAAAAACCTAAAAGGAGAACCTTTACACAAAAGTATTTGTCAAGGTACCCCTCATTAAAAAATTAAATAGAACATCTAGTTTTGTTATTTTGGTGAATGAATTTAGCTTGATTTGCCTGTGTATATAAGTACATGCATTTATGCATATAGATATGTGTGTCTATATGTACACATATAAATATGTATAAACAAAGTCCAAATAATTACCTAAGGTGAGAAAATTCTGAGAAACACAAGGGCTCACTATATTACTTTTCCTTTGACCTATTCTACTGGGTTAGTCATTAAAAAAGCAACTAGGAATTATTCATTAAAGAGCTAATATGAACAGGAGTAGCTTAATTTAACCTATTTCATGTTTACCTTCCTAGGAAATAGATGGCTTACCATGACCAATTTATAAGCAAATTAATTAAATTAACATTATTCTGTGTGTCATCTACAGATACCCTCTCTCAAAATATGGCATCCAATCTTGAAAGATTTATTAAGCATCTACTCTATGCCTTGTGCTGTGACAGGAATAATAAGAGAATAAATAAATACAGCCTACATCTTGATGGTATAGCTCTATGCTCGGAAAAAAGACAGGTAGATCAAAAGTTAAAGAATATTTTAGCATATAACAAAGTGCTAAAGAAAACTTGAATGTTGTAATAGAGATTAGAAGAAATCAGTGCAGATTTCAGAGTTTTGAAGATGTTAAATGAACACAAAAAGCACTACAAGAAATAAGAGGTCGTGACAAAATATCTGCGTGGTAATAAAAGATAAAGTTTAGAATCTCAAGATGAAAGAGAACTCGCCTACCTCTTACAATGCAGATAAAGAAATCAACTCACACACACAGGGTCAACAAACTGACCAAGGTTAGCAACTGACTGTGGCTAAGCTCAGATCTGGAGTCCTGCAATTAACTCCGAGTTTAGTGTAGCTTCATGTTAGATAGCATGCGATATAAAACAAAGTTTTGTGCATTAGGAGCAGAGCCAGAGAATAAATTCAAAAATAAGGCCAGATCTTGTGACAACCAGAACAGGGCTTCTCAGATTTTAACAGACACATGAGTCACCTGGAGATCACTGTTAAAGAGCAGAGTTTTCATTCTGTAAACCTGGGGTTTGGCATTTCTCACACATTTCCAAGGTGTTGCTGCTGAGAACCCCTGAAAACCGCTCTTTCAGTAAGAAGGCGCTGGAGCGGGTTCCACGAGTAATGGCGTCACGCGTACCCCGCTGAATCACCCGCACTTCTTAAAACTTGGGAAACCAAACACTCCTTGGGCAATTCGATGAAAGTTGCACATGCTAAAACTTCCCCATGACCTTTTATAAAGCCCAGCGCTGGGTGATAAACCTCTGCGCACAAGGGAATTTTGGCTTGGTAAAAAAATCTCCACCTGCTCTCTCCAAGGCTTTCTTAAAGTTTTTATTACTAGTAATGGCCAAGGCCCACATCGGATTCATCTTTTTAACTTTTACTTCCTTAACGTGAAAGAATTTAACTGTCCTTTGATGCTGTGATCCTTTTAATGATAAAAAACAATTCCTTCTAGAAAAAAGGGGGGCTTGGGCCCGGATGAGATTTCAGAAGGAGGACCAAAGCAGAGCGGCCTCACGGAGCAGGAAGCACACAGAGTAACTCACCCTCAGGTGTGCCACAGAACACAGAAGGACCGCCGAAGGGCGGAATGGTTTATTTCCAAGCTGACTAGAATTTGCATGGATGGTGTGCTTCTTGTTCTTCCTGCATTCTGCAATTTCTCCTTGACTATGGATTACTTTTATAATGACGAGGATTTATTGAACTCCTCCAATGCACCGGGCAGCATGCCTGGAGCCCTGCCCCTGTAATACTCTTCAGTGAGTGAACTACCCCGAGTTCACTGTGATGAGAGAGACACGCTGAGATTCAACTTGCCCGACGGTATGCAGCTAATTACAGGTGAGGACGAGATTGCACCCCTCCTGCCCGGCTGTGAGCGCTCCTTTCGTGGACCATCGCACGCCCCTCTTCTGCTGAGCCACACCGCTATGGGAATACGAGCGCCAGACCTGGGTCTCCTTCGGTCACCAGCCACTTTTGTGCCCCACTCATCCAGACCAAGCCCCCGCTTCATCCGCGGCTTTCCTTGCTTGATAGCTTCACTTTTCTTGCCGGTTAGCCCCGCAGGAATTGTATTCTTATGTCCTTTTTTTCTCTCTTTACCTTACTCTCTCGTTTACTGTCCTGCTTGGAAAGGAAGGAAAGAAGGGACACGGGGATGGAGGGAGGGCGGGCCCCTTTTCAGGTTCTATGAAAGCGAGTGGTTTGCACTTCATTAAGAAGAAATTAATTTCAGGGTCATAAGGGCCAGTGATCACCCATTACGCCAGGACAACTGTACTGAGCTACCAATGAACCCGATGGCATGTATCCCCATTCAGAAAGCAACTGCACCAGCAACATGGTTATTATAATTTAATATGCTCAGTACTGTAAGAACGAAAGTAGATACCATAACACTATAATAACATCTTCAAATCCACGCGAATTCCATAGTATAATTACAGTACAACCGAAATAAAATGTTTCTACCCTGGACTTTCCTCTGTCATGCATTGCCCCATTACCCCAACTATCCTCCATGGTTTTGAGCTGATAAAGACATCACAAATGGGGCTGGGGATTTAGCTCAGCGGCAAAAGCGCTTGCCTGGCAAGCGCAAGGTCGTGAGTTCGGTTCCCGGTACCGGAGAAAAACCAAAAAAAAAAAAAAAAAAAAAAAGACATCACAAAGTACATTTGGCTGTGATCCACAGAGTGTTGTTTTAAGATGTAAATCTGCAAGTTATCAAGTGACATTTATAGGCCTGCAGTGTTATGCACTGGGGGATCAACAATTCACACTGTATTCTAAACCAAGCAATAAATTGCTCCTGATTAAACTGCAGAGCACTGGAATTCCTAAGGATGCTCCTGTGAAAGGTGAGAAAAAAAGCCATTTCATTAAAAATCAAATTAGCTGATAAAT